TAATGCTAACTAAACCAAAAACCGGATTTTCATCTGTTTAACAGAGAGCTCATTTAACCACTACCTATCTTATTCTTCTGAAGAGGATACATTAGATCTACTAGCAGAAACACCACCCTACAGGCAGCTGTTTGTGCTAGTAATTATTAATTGTAGTATTCATACCTCATTGAAAAAAAAAAAATTAAATGAACATTTTCTACAAAAAAAAAATTTCTTTATGGGAAGTACAGCACGGGAAAGTGTTTGGATTGTGCTCTTTAGTCATATGCAACTCGTCGCATCAAAATGATTCAAAGCACAGAGCTAAAAATTTTCATAAATTATACTCATATATATAAACTGTTCTGTTTTTATATATTAAAAGTGGTATCGTTTATCGAAAAAATAAGATTTTTAAGAACTCCAGTTTCTTAGTACTACATTTAAAAATTACATCAATAAAGATATAATCAAACCGTCACATACAGTCCTAGTAAAAGTTGTGTTCTTGTTTATTTAAAACTGTTCTATTATAAGGAAATGGTTTTTGCACAAGCCAGAGTTATTTTTCTAACTGTCTGAATCTTGAATACCCAAAGCGTGAAATTTCTTTATGGATTTTTGTTTGTCGTGCTGTTTAATAGATGGTGCAGGAATTTTGGTTACATACATAGATACTAACATACAAGCTACATCCATTGTAGTAAGATTATTTCCACTGGATTTTTAAGTAATTTTACTGTTTTCATGAAAATGTATATTCCGAGGTAAAGCCAACTAGTAGTGATATTTCTATTTTTTACTACAAATGATAACACGAATCCACTTACTTATGAAAGAATGGGATTGAAAAACAATTATGATATAATGATTGAAAGTATACCATATTTAAACAAAAAAAAACTCTGTAAGTTAATTTTATATGAGCATATTGACAAATATTTTTTTCCACATTGTTTTTATTTAACTAAATAAAAACTTTCAGTAAGAATTTCAGCAACAACGTTTGGATATTTTAAGCCATTTCTATTTTGGAGTGTGTCCAAAAAACTGACAGAAAACTAAGGATTAATCCTGTCTGGACAAGAGAGCACCTTTTAGGTGTTAAGTGCACACGTGTGTACCAAAATTTATCTCTATTTCAAAAACATTTTGAAATTGGTATTTTGTAACATTTATTTAGTATAATTTACAAAGAAAAATTAGAACCATTTTCAAACTTAGATACTTGCACAGCACTTACGAGTTTCACCAGGAAATAAACCTTATAAATTTTCTTTACAACTTTCTTGCCTATTTCAAAAAAGTATAGGTTTATATTTGCTAAGAAAACTATCATCCCTAAAGAATATAAATATTAATGTATTATTTTTCATATCATTCTCTGTCACTTTCATTGCTTTTTATCAGTAAAGCCTTGCATTCTTACCCTTTTATGATCTCAAAACACCTAATCTCAAGAATGAATAATGAAGCTCTGCTTTGAAATTAGCTACAGGCAAAGTTTAAATACCATTGGCCAGAGCATATTATAAACTATTTACATCAAGTTTGAATCATTAAAGTGGTGTAAGAACAACAGAATCTACTGGGAAGTTTAGAAGATTTAGGAATAAACCAGAGTTCTGGAAACTTTTAATAGTTTCTTTAGATATTCTTTTCATTTGTGACAATTTTTGTGTTAAATTATATTTGTTTAAAGGTTGTGGAAAATTTCTTCTAATACAAGACATCAGGTAAGACTAGTTAGGTTTAGAGATCACAGTAGATTATAGCAGAAATATGTTAATCAATATAAACCAAGTTCAAACTGATTGGAAATATAAAATGGAATTTTCCAATCAACATCAATAAAACTGAAATTCCAAGATTAAATGGAAGAAGTATTTTTTATATTTGTTTAAATTAGAGCTCACAACAAAAATTTGGAAGTATCACGACATACAAAGTTACATAAAACTATGAAAAATTATACAAAGTTTTGTAAGCAGAAAAACAAAAATACTATTTAGAAAGTTCATTCTTAGTTTTATCCAATTTGATTAGGTATTTTCTCTGTGAGAAGGAAAAAGCCAAGGAACATCAATGAAAACACTTCTGGTCTATAAAGGATTAATAACAGGACACACTAATCATTTGGTTGAAAGTGGCTTGCAAATAAAAATCAAATGAAAAAGAAAATTATGCATCAATATGCATTTTTACCATTCATGTTATAAGCCTACATTAATATATAAAATTTTCAAATTTATTTACTCACTAGGTTGTGCTGAAGAAGGAGGAGGCCATTTTGGTTTGTGAATGGAACCATAGACCTGTGATGATGTTCTTTCTGAAGTACTATGTTTTAAAAACACCAACAAACAAAGTAAGATTACAACTGTAAATACTTCATATATAAAGTTGCATACACATATATGAATATTAATCCAAAAATTTAAAAGTTGCTTTCATTTAATAACAATGTATTTCTTTCATGTAGATGAGTTTGTAAAATACATTAAACACTAAAATCTGATTACTAGAGTAGTTTTTAATACTAAATGCTTACAAATCTTTAACATATGACAATTACGTGTCTCTACAATTCTAAACTACTTGTTTCTTAACCCTCTCCAGATGGGTCATGGGTCATGGGTCAAAGGCCATGTCATCGCATTTCAAAATGTTATTGAAGTACTATTTCATGAATTTATGTCAATAAGTTTGGTATCAAACTTCAGATTAAATTAAATAATGTATAATACTAAAATTTGAATTATCATAATTTAAATGTAAATAAAAAAACACAGTTAAACATCTACTTTTGTGTGTCATGTGCTATGTTGAATGCAGCACTGCTTGAAATTAGATGTTTGTGAAGTCAAAATACTATGTCTATAGTTTCAAACGAATTAGAAACTCAAATTACCGATATTGACAAGCTAGAATATAAAGTAAGAGCCTCTTACCTTTTCAATTTTCTAAGATATTGCTCATGTAATAAATCAAACACAGTGGCACCCCACCTACCTCTTTCCATTTTTAAAAATACTTCCTTATATACACTTACTTTTATATATGACATGAATAACCAATCGGAAGCTCAGAATGTCCCCCTAGTGGCTTTCTCAGCCATTTTAATGTGTTTGGATATCACTTCTTTCTTTCGAACCAAGATTTCAAGGAGGTTGGGTAGGATGTGTCTTTAGTCTGCTCGAAATTTCATATTTTTTAGACTGAAATACTACTTAGTTACTGAACTTGATAAAATTATAGTGGAATTCTATGGTATTGGATATAGTAATATATGATTTTTTGCTTATTCAACTTTATATATAAAACCTAAAAACAATTATTTCCTTTCACATCATCCACGTGATTTTAAAAGGCTTATCAACCTACGGCAAACAGCATCCAAGTACAAAGGCTGTAACTGAAAGAGATGATTGTTTGCTTTACTTCTTTATTTACTGTTCTACGTTTTAAGAAAAATATGTTTAAGAACTTGTTTGTAAATATTAATACTTTATATGCATGTATTATGTATAATAATTGAAATGTGACTGTATTTGACAAAATACTAGTTCACTAAAACACAGCCAAGACAGGTCACTTTGTAAAGACTGAAGGTCAGTTCTATATTATTGGATACATGTCAGAATTTAAAATAAGATATATATATATATATAACTTTCCTTTTTGCCAATTGTCAAATAGAAAGGCTTTTAGTTATATTTCTTAATAGTATAAATATATATTATGTTGTTGTTGGGCTTAAGATTATTCAACAGTTGGTGTGTGTGTGACTTGTTAGCAACAAATTCAACGGTGAAAAAACAGCACTCACTTCACTTGTTTTCAAAATAATATATACATTCAGAACAAGTTAACGTATGTACAATAAATTCTTCAACACTATAGATATTAGGAACATATCATAAATACTATATATGTAGTTCTCTCCTTGTCAAATATCCACTTAGGCCTCTTCAATTACTTTAGAATTTCAGTTGACAATGACAAGCCAAACTATCTTCTCTATTTCTATCACACAAGTATTCTCTGTGATTCAATTACAATTGTGGCGCAAGTTACCGTAATGATTTGATCTTTTTTCTTTTGAAGATCCTCTGTTCCTTTTGTAGAAGTGCACTAAGGCTGATTCAATTACTTTAGAACCATACTTTGATGGAATAAAATTATTTTTCTTATCTTCTTCTCTACTGTTAGTTTCACTCTAACATATTTTAAATGTTAGGGCTATCACTTCTTCAGTAGTTAACTTCACACCAATTTTATTCTGTTTTGCTATTATCTGTCTGCTGCTTCCCGCTCGTCTCACGCTATTTATATCTTTATCACTTGATCGTCTGTCTGCCTTCTATATTCTTGACTTCAGTGTATTGCACATGATGTTAAGTAGTCTCAACATCAATGAATTATTAACAAAACTTCCTATAATCATCTGCTTTTAACTCTTATTAACAACAATAAGACTAAACAACAATAAAACATTCACTCACAAAACTAAATTAATCAATAATATCTGAACGAAACAGTCTTTTATATCATGACAATACGGTAACATAAGTGCACATGTGTCGCGTCTTTGTGACTACTGTATTGTTAGCCAGGCATGGCTGAAAGGTCAATATAATAAAAATAATAAATATATATAAATGTATAATGTTATGAGATTTAAGCTATTTAGACTAAAAATTTATGTTTTCGTGTTATAATATATACTCATTCTAGAATGAAAAAGGCATAATTTATATGCATCTCTTAATTTTTATGGTGGTTACGAGATTGGTCAAATCAACCGAATTCGTACAGAGCTTTGTTAGTGAAAATAACTGGTAAAATATAAAGTTTTTTCTTAAGAAATGCTTGATAATTATCTGGACATTATATAGATTTCGCATGGGAAATATGAAAATTTTCTGATGCATAAATGTATTTTAATCTTAAAATGAAAATTACTTTGCATGTTGGATAGAACAACATGCAAAAAAAAAAAAACCACGAGAAAAACATTGCTTAACAAACCTTAAGACTTAATAAAAAAAATCTGATATTTACATATGAAAGCATTATAGTGTTTACTGATAATCTGTCAAATTTCGTTAACATACACTTACTAATTCAAAAGTTATACCATGAAAACTCTAATAGGTGCAACATGCTGAAAGAGTTAAGCCAAAACATGAATCACATAATCCTCTAAACCTTACAGCAATCTCAATCACTTTTTTATTTTCACAGAATGTACCAAAATCTTGTTGGAAGTATGTTCATAATGCAGCTTAAAGAAAGAAAACATGTCTAAAACACTAAATTTACCTGTCATTTTCAGCCTTTAGATTTTCTACTAACTCTTTCTTTGCTTGAAGTTCAAGATCAGCTTCTTGAAGTCTAACTCTCAGTACAGCCAGCTGGGAATCTTTAGCATTGAGAACACTGTTAAGGTCATTCTCTTGGTTCATAAGCTCTCGAATCTTCCGATCACTTCCTGAAACCTGTGAATTCCAATAATCAAGCTTTTTCTGCATCCTCTTTTTTTCTAGGATGATAAATAAAAGTGAAAACACACAAATAAGTCAATTGTAAACAAACCAAAGTTAATAACTGTACATTGCAATAAAGATGCCTTCCACATAAGTACTGACATATGGGTAAAATAAAACATTTACTTATTTTTCTTAATTATGTATAATACAAAATAAATTCAGAAAGAAAAAAGATGTATTTTTTTTCCTTTAGCTGTATGTGAGGAGTATCATAGATTGTGTGCTTCCAAGATAGGTGGCAATGCAAATACATGATGGCAAAACCTAGTACATTCACTAAAAGAATAAACCTTAATTCTGCGAGCAGGGTGAAGACAAACAATAGTTTCTGATTGCCCCTGGTTACCTTTCAGGACCTGAAAAATTTTAAACCAAAAAAAACCTATGTGTATGTACCAAGGAGTTTGACTCCAGTCATGTGACACCTTTGTTCCATACTGTATACACTGTAAATTACATTACTGATATGAAAAAAAGTCGTTATAGAGAGATAATTATTTGACCTTCCACCCAAAAATCATGGTCGTATGTCGCATCTGTCAGGAAGTCGTTCGTGGGAGGTCAAATCAATGTAAAATCGTTCCGTGCACAGAAAGAAAGTCGTTATTGGGAGGGGTCGTATCCACCAAGGACTACTGTTGTAAAAATGTCTTTGTAATGTAAACTATCTCACTCAAAACCAATCCGACAGGAGCTGCCCCTGTGCAATAACATCCTTGGTATAAGAAAACCACCAAGGGATAGCATAAGAAGAAAAACTGTATTAATAAGCAAGTACCACCACCGTGACCCACAACAGAAATGGAGGAACCAGAGGATAATTGAGTGAGAAAACAGACACACTTATAATACACGTGTGAGGACTTATTTTGATTGATTCATCTGTGAATACAAAACCCAGCCACTGGAAACTGACATCCACATGAGGGTAGAATGACGAATCTCAATCAAAGGTGTGAACTGCAATTTTGATGGCTCACTCCAAAACTACCACATCCCCTTGTATAAAACCTGTACAAAGACTGAGCATCAGATTGCAGGACATCTCATAATCTACACCAGCAGAACACCATCACCCTACTCTCAACTGAATGGCTTTATCATTATATGTATCATCTATCATTATTAAATTCAGGAAGATGCCTCCATTGTCACCCCAGTAACTTGAAACTGGAAAATGGTAAGGACTCCCATACTCCACTAGAAGAAAAAGGGGAGAAAATGTGGTGGAGAGTCAGGAGGAATGACAACACCAGAGACAGTGCAACAGGTGACCATGAAAACCCTATTTTGAAAAGCAGACCATACCTGAATTATTCAATCAAAGGCATGAGCAGCTATCCCCATGAAGTCCATGGGTGAGTACATTCCAGAACTGGCATATTAATGAAGCAAATATATCGCAAGGACAAACCTACAAGTGATCTTGTGGAACACTCCATCTCAACAGTGAGCATGTTATGGCCATGGAAATTAGAAATAAGCAGTCAACATGGCCTGACAGTGCCAAGTTGACAATGAGAAGCATACCTGGTCAGGCATCACTTGCCACAGAGCAGGATTCAGACAGTAAAAAGATGGGAAAAGCCCCTGGTAAAAAAGATATATATATATATAAGGTAACTTACCTAGTCATAATCTCAGCAAAGTCTGAAAAATGGCTACAGGTAGAAGACAATAACTTGAGGATTAAGACACAGCAGTTCAATTCAGATGGTGAGAAATTAACTTATGTGGGGTAGTCCACATGCCCAATTGAAGGCTTTCTTCCAAGGGAAAATGGAGATGAGATGGCAGGAAAAAGGTAAGGTGCTGATCTGATAAGAAGGCACCTAGAACAAATTACAGGAAGAAAATTATAAGGAAGAATAAGCAAATTGATTTAAAAGCTGAATGCAATTGGTCAGAGTGGAAGGAGAAAGGTCATGAATAGAAGATGTCTTCCAAGGTATGATGAGGTGGGAATGGGCACCATGAAAGGAAGCCGTGCAGGCAACATAACAACAAAGAGCACAAACAGGACATAGTAGCCTATCCAGATCCAACTGAGGAGAAAGGTGAGGAATTGAAGGAAGGGAAATCGGTGAGAAGAAGGAATTACCCCTCCTTAACTGCTGAAGTTTTGGGAAGGAAAGATCACTCTGGATAAAGGAGAATATATGTGAAATGATATAGAGTACTAGAAACATCAATGGTAAATAAATCCAACTGAAGACATCCACAGGCTAATCAGAGAAGGAAATCAATTTTAAGGGATAAGTGAAAAATTGAAAAAAGAAGACAAGTTCAAATGGAGGCAAAGTGAGGTAATGAAGAACCACATTAGCATCCCAATCTAGAAGGACTGCACACCAATGTGGATGACTAATCCAGAAGGAACATAAGAAGGGAAGGATAGGAGAGGTAAAAACTTTACGATACCTGGAAAAATGAAAAGTGTGGAATAAGGCAGCTCAATAACCCATGATCAAGGAGACAGAAGACCCCTGATAAAATAGCCAAGTGATAAAATCCATAATATGAAAAACAGTGGGTCAAGCGGGGAAAAACCTTTTACCCAAAGGTGGAAAACATTCTTCTTACATTGATAAACATCCCTAGAAGAAGGCCAAATGAAACAAGCCAAAAAAAGAAGCGACCTGCCAGGGACTGGATAAAAGCAGGCAGGAAGACGGAAGATATGAAGGGCTGGATGAAAGGCCAGTGACCAAGGTTGAATAGAAGGAATGGAGTAAAAGAAAGAGGTAATGGAGGGCAGATTAAAGTTGGAGCAGCCATGGGAACCATGGTCATGCTGGCCAGTATGGAGCAATCAGAAGGATTTGACATGGAGTGGTGAGGATGATCGAGATCACCCTGTGAAGAAGATAGATGTGAGTATAAACATACAGGTATTTGTTGGTCCAATCTTGACTGAACTGCATCAACAGCCAGAGCAAGAGGATAAGGAACCAAAACAGAGATAATTTGGTACTGAGGGATGTGGCAAGTCCATCCAGGTGAGGAGTACCCTCTGGAAAACAAGAGGATTGAGAAACCACTCTGTCACATAAACTTTGTTGGGACAGGAAAGACGATTTTCAACAAGATTTAATGCCCTGGAACATGATATGCAATGATACAAATACTGAGCGCGTGGGCCCAAAAAATGGAGATACAAGGTCCAACCACAAAGTGATGAGAATGGGTTCTGCCTTGGTGATTGAGATAAACCACCACTGTAGAATTGTTCGAAGGGATCATGCCCAAATGATTCCTGGGAAGATTAAGAAAATTATTCAAGGCATGACATATAGCCAGAAGCTATAAAATGTGGTAAGATCTTTCTGACAAAGACCACCAACCTGAAGCTTCCTAGGGATTGACCCATGCCCCCCAGCCATCAAAGGAAGTATCCTTGAAGATATATAAATCTGGAAGAGGGGAGAGGAAGAGGAACACCCACCAATGTGTGAGCCTTGTCCAATCATCAATACAAATTGCCTACAAGGAAAGGAGGAAGGAGCTTCCAATGGATCCAGTCCAAGATTCCATTGGTCGTGCAGAGTCCACTGAAGAGACCTCAATATGCACTCGCCCCAAGAGGATAAGGGCTTCCACGGAAGACTATATAAAAAAAAAGACCACATGAGGGTGAGAAAAGACTCCATGGTAAACTGAGGTAGAACCAAAAATTGATTGTGGTGTGACAAATCGATCACAGGCCACCAGTCCTCAGTTTTCTTGGGTACCACAAACAGCCTGGAATATAAACCTGGAGAAGGATGATTGACAGGTTTGATGGCCTGCTTAGAGAGAAGATCATGTACCACCTTAGAAAGATATGGCGTGGTGGTAGGATCCTGAAGCAATGGAAAGGAAACAGGTAACAGAGGAGGGGAAAGAAAATGGATAACAAGACTCTTATATAATACCTGAACAACCCACAAATCTGTGGCAAAAAAGTTGACAAAAAGGAACAAAATTAGTCAAGTGAGCCCCCAATGGACCAGTACCCACTAGGTAGTCACCATTCTGTTGGTGACATGTCCATCTGCTTCAAATAAAATGACAAGATGAAGAACCCCTTAAGGGAGGAACAAATAAGGACTGAGAAAGAGCTAGACAAGAAACAGTAATAGGGGTAAATCTAGGCTCAGAATGATACAAATGATCCACCAAAGAAGAAAGGGTAAATTGTTGTTGCACCAACTTTACATGGATTTCAAAGTTTAAGGAATATGACTAAAAACATCCTGCTGTAAATAAAGGGGCCATATGCAAGTCCTGGAGATAAGTAGGTGGTAAACGAACTTGGGACAATGCTGCATCCCTCCCCAGGAGATCCTAACAACAGAGAAACCATGTGTGTAAAGCTGGAGCTGAATAAGACAAACAAGGATGAGTCACCCCCATCTGTAGCCTGTGTGAGAGTGCTAATAGAAGGTGTTATCTCCAAAGTGGTAACCTGAACTTCGGAATTCATTGTTTAAAAATGAAAATCAAACATAATTGATTGATGAAGAGAAAAAAAAGATGAAACTGGGAAAATAACTCATCTCAAAGTCGTTATCTATTGGAAAAAAATCCACTTCAGAATAACAACAACAAATCACAAATTTGAAGAGTGATACAAAAGCATCTTGACACGAGTACTGCCAAACAAAAGTAATAGTTTGGTAAAATTGAATACAGGGAGTCCCATGAATCAGGATAGTGTCACATTCTTATTGGTGGAGGGTTGTCACATAATGATTTACATTCGAGATGCATTTGAACAAGTTGATTGTAAGGTACATGGGAGCTTAAGGCTTATGGCATGGGAAAATGTTTTTCCTTATAGAGGGCAGGACTGAACGAGAATAACTATTTATGTGAGTGGAGGTAATATACTGTATCAGAATTTCAAGCAAACACTTTTTCTCATGTTTTGAAGCAATTGGATTTTTTTGTGGGAATTTTACAATTGCTTCAGTATTTTAGCAATTTAAAAAGTTTAAGAAAGGAGTTATGACAATTTTCTAAGTTTTTAAGTGAATATATACCTGAAGAAATGTGTAAGTAAAAGACACTTATGTTGTGAAATAAGGTCAAAAGCTAGGAAAGTACAGCCAACTGGTTAAGTGGTATTGAGAATCACAAGTTATGCAAGCCATAAGTTTGACAGTGATAAGTTACTGATGCCAAGTTAGTAGTATAGTAAAGGCTACTAAAAAGTTTATGATAACATCTCAAATTGGCACTTTGATGTGAGTAACCAATTACTTGAGAGTTTTTGTTCTTGTTTTGGATTAGCCCAGACAGTTGCACAGACTGCCCAATAAAGTGTTAGAATTACTTGCGGGTAGTTAGGAATACTGTTTGGAAAGTCGAAAGAATACAAAGAAAATATGGTTTAAAAACTCATGTCTGGAGCTAAAAATCAGAGTTCTCTCCAGGAAGAATTGAGATTCTCCCCAGAGTTACTATTAATCCAGAAGCTATGAAAGTTTCCCAGCTGTAAGTATTTACCAGATCAACTTGAAACTATTTCTGTTTTAATCAATTAATGTGAATTTGGATAGATTTTAAAGCATTAAAAAACCAAGAAACTTAATGTTATAATGAGTTATAATTATTAGTGTTGTTAACTCAAACGTGCTCTTTCATGAAGAGTTAAGAAATGAGTAAAGAAGTATATTTTATGTTAAGAAACTTAAATAAACTTGATGTAATGTGTTGAATATCAGTCTCAGGATCAATTTCTTAACTCTAACCATAAATCTCCTCGAGTTAGCAACTTGTGATCTCCACTCGCCACTGTAATGCTCAACTAATAAATTTGATGTAATCAACAGTACAGTTGAAGCTCCAATGAGTAGCCCTAAGGGAGCTGTCCATTACAGTTTTACAAAGGTGAACTTTTACTAAAATAATAGCTATGAAAAAGAAAGGCAGAGGGCAATACTTACCACCATCAGCATCTTCAAGTTTCTGCATAAGGTTTTGTATTTCTTGATTCATACAAGTTACTTCCTTCATTAACATAGCATTTTCTTTCTCTAACTGACTGGTAAATAATTTGTGCCCTGTTGCTTCCTGCTCAGAATCTTGGTAACTGTTGGATATCTGATTAGAATCTTGATTACTGTTATCTACAAGTGTCAATGTTTCTTTGATTGGGGTCAGTTGCTGATCTTCCTTTAAAATTTGAACAGGAATATCTGATCCTTCTACTTGGAGACTTTCCTGCTGAAGCCCATCTGTTTCTTTAACTATGTATACTTCTGTTGTTTGATCTACAAGGCTCATATTTGAAATAATTTCCTTTTCTTGATCCCATCTATCTGTTCGGTCTGTCTGGCTTGATTCTAATACCTTTTCAAGTAGTCCCAGTGAGTAGGAATTTTCAATAGTTTCTTCTGATACAGAACTACCATTAAGTGGTAACTCTTGAGTTTCTTCTGATGCAGAACTGCCATTAAGTGGTACCTGCTTTTTAGATTCTTCTGGCTTGTAGTGTGCTGCTCCTGATGACCAACTGTTCATTGTCAATGTTTCTTTTTCACCTGCTACTTCTGTATCTGTAACAACATGTAGCAAGAAATGTATGATTATAATGAATATAAAAACAATACAGAAAATTAGGTTTTGAAACAGAATTACAGCAGGATAATTAGAACTGTTTACATAAAAACACAACTATGACAATTTGCAAACAATCTGTAAAAGGTCTACATTTGTATGAAACCAAAACCTATGTTGTCTCTGGTCTTTTGGATATTTCACTTGTTGCTACATTATTCAAAACCACTGGTATGTGTCTTAAATGTGAAAAGCTAGCCTTCATGTGAGCTAACGAAATAATTAATTGTGTTGCCTTTATATATATCATTACATGTAACTAGTATTTCTAATTATGATAGTCTGCTTTATAAAAGCATATTGATTTCTGCATTTCAATATTATAGAAACAAAAGATGAAACATTTTCTGTAATCTCTAGTCTTAGGCCTATAACATACTGCCCAAGGAATATTCTTCAGCTCAAGGAACATTATACATAAATATAAAGTTATGTCCAACATTTATCGAAATATAATATGTTTATGTAGTTTTATATCAGAATAAAATGTCAAGAAAAATTTTAATTTTAGCTGAAAAATTCCTGTAGCAAACTGACCTTTTATTTTTTGCAGAACAAATTAAAACTTTTACTTAACAATAACCAGTAATATCTTTTGAATAAAAGACTCCATCATTAGTTTAAAAAATGTATCAAAGTAGAGAAAATTTTTGTTTTCACTAAAGAAAGCAAATCAAGAACCAATTCCCCATCTTAGTGTCAGATAACACTTGATTATAAATCCAATTCTCTACATTTAGTGTCAGAGAACACAAAATTGAAAATAACAAATTCCTTATCTTTAGTGTTAGAGAATATTAAATTGATGAGATCTTTAGTTTGAGAAAACACTAGATTGTTAAGAAACCATTTTATATTTTCAGAGAACACTAGGTTGATAAGAACCAATTCTCCATATCTAGGAATTCAGATATTTAATGTAGACTCTTCCACCACCTGCAATGCCTTTTTCTTGTTTTATAAAATAAAAGTTTGAATATATATATCTATATAATTTTGCAATTCAAAAACCATGAATTTCAAAATTTAAACAATATGTACTTATGTGGTCATAAGTGAATAACCTCACAAATGCCATATAAAGGGTCTTGGTTATGAAGGATACAAGATGGCCAGGAAGTGTAAATTAAACATTTATGTACATATATATAACTGGTCTTCTAACTTTCTTGCTTCTCAGTATTAGTGTTTCTGAAATACTGTTAAACACTTAGGTAATTTTACTCAGTGGTTCAACTCATGAAATATAACCATATACCATTCTTTGAGATATATTAATCTGATGGTAGAAGATCAAGGTCACAAAGGCAACTGATGTTCTTCAACGTTGAAATAGCTGTTAAGCATCTATACCCATACACTGATCATTCTCTAATAAACTATTTGTTTGTAATTAAGCACAAAACTACCTGATGATGACAAAACCTTGTCGAAACATTGTACATTTGTTGTTATGTTAGATTTATATTAAAGTTTTTCTTCATCACCCATTCAAGTTGTCTCCAAGCATTAATGGGTTATCTGTGCTCTGCCCACCACGGATATCAAAACCCATTTTCTAGTGTTGTAAGTCTGCAGACATACCACTGTGCCACTGGGGGGCATTAAACTGTTGTTGTTGATGTCAGTTGCCACATTCTGGATCTCCAGTTAACTCTGCTACCAAACCCAATGAACTGTATTTGTAAGTCATTTCTGAAAATATTTATAGGGTAACCCCAATGTTTCCTGGTGTTTTTCTGCTCTGAATGATGTTTTTAGTCATTTAAAAGAAACTGAGTCAAAATTCATTTACTAAAATGTATGTTACCATACTTTTTTTTATAGAAATTATGTTTTACATTAATTTTAATGAAAAACAATCACCTGGTTTGAGTTGTCACTTACAAAAGTCTGTAACAAAAAAAAAACATAGCAGATAAATTTGAATTTGTGATATACACATATCTGATTATATTTCCCCCTTAAACAAATCTCAAAGTTTGGATAAAACTGACCAAAGCCACCTTAACTGGGGCATTCTTGAACTATTTATAAAAATCCAAAATAAGAATAGTAATTAACTAAAGTTAATACTTTCCTTACCTAAAAATGTATTTGTAATAGATACTTACCTCTCTGCAAATAGTAATTATTTCTTGCATGCCTGCCATTGAAATAGCCTTGAACTATCTATCTTCCACCTAAATTATGTCTTTTGATGTGAACTACAATGGCACATGATGTGAGCCAGAGAGGTTGTGCTGGCTTTTTCCATGATAGTCCATAGAAAGTACGGTCTGGAACAGACACAGAAAGATATAAGTATACTACTGTACTGGTCTTGTAGTAAACTCCCTCTCAACAGTGGGCACATATGAACCAGAGAGGATGAGCTTAATCCTTTCTGTTACCACTGACTTGATGCAGATTTGGGAAAGTAAGTATACCCTGTGAGGCAATATCAACCACTGGGTGAAACTATTATTAAGAGTGGGTAAAAAAATAAATGAAATACTTATTCCATTAAAATTGATGAGTAAACTGAAGAATGACAACTGGAGATGAAGCCACCAGAAAATGATGAAAGTATGTTGGAGACTGTACACTTCTTTGGCTGTAAGATTTGGCCCATTAGCTGCCAAAAGAGCAAGACCAGAGTGAGTCAAGGGATGAATCTGATGAGAAGTGACACAATAGAGTCAGTAAGTGTCATCCTATAGAATATAACAAACAATTTGGATGAAGTACTCAACCAAACTGGTAAGACTAGTGGAATTAATATCGCCAGATGAGGAGGGGGTCACACAGCAAGAATAAGGAACTACAGGCATCCCAAAATCAGCCGATTGGGACGCAAAAAACAACCAGTATTGAAACAATTATTGTGGGCTGAAAACAACATAAGAGAAATGGGAGATAAAGGACCATCTCCCTCCCAAGCCACCTATGTTTAGGGAAGGAACAACTGGTCAGGGAAAAAATGGATTAAGATTTGTGGAACAGAGTAGAGGAGGCATATAAGGAATAAACATAAGAACAGTGACAACCTCAAGCTAGAATGAGAAGGAAAGAGGTCTTCAAGGAAAGATGAGAGAAGGAACAAGTGGCCATGGGTTCAAATGAGGTCTGGATGTAAAAAACCACAAGAAGGTCCCAAATAGAAAAATTAACCAGAAGGAGAACAGGGAAGAAAAGATGGAACTACAGCCTGGTATAGACAGACAACAGAAGAACAACCCATAGGCAGAGACTGCCTGATGGACCAGTGGTGATAAAAATGCCACTTTTGTCAGGGAACAAAGAGAGTGAAAGGATGAATGGCAATGCAATATGAGAAACCATCTGTCAAGTAAAGAAAGGACAATCCCATATGTGAAAATGAAGGGATGAAACTCCCAGAGGAAAGAATAATATAGAAGATTGGAGCAAAAGGAACCTTGATGATGGAAACAGAAGAGGTGCCTTGCATCCCAGTTAGTGGAGAAGAGGAAATCAAGATAGAGGTGGCCAATAAGGTGTAATCTACAGGACTTATGAAGCAGAGAACACATAGAAAAAAGAAAAGAACAATACAGGCTGAGTGTGTTCACAGTCAGAACAGCTGATTATTGGATTGGGGAGGGGGGTACCAAAAGGGCTGAAGTGGTCAGACACTCAATGACTTTCAGAAGAAATGGAGAAGGATGAGCCTGAATGTTATATGATTTCTTAAGTTCTGCAAACAACCACAGAAGAGGACATTAACAAGTCTCATTCTAGATGAAATTTTAGCTTTGTGAAAAGAGCTAGTACCTCAGGAGGATGAAACTTCAGAAACACGAAGTTGGCAGGGTTGAAAGGTAACATAAAAGGTAACTCTAACACAGCTAGTTGTGTACCACTATTCAGAAATTAATAAAAGTAAGAAATGGAATTATAAATCTCACAAAATTCAAGAATGAAGAATAGACACACACTGAAAAAGGAAATAGTCAGAAAGACAATAACTTCAATAATAGAGAGTAATAAATCAAATCAATCATGAATGTTGTGCAAAATCTTTCTAAGTTCAAGAGCAAAATTAAACAAGTCTGTTAATGGGAGTGCAGAAGTTAAGAATGAAGTTAATTTTGAGTTCAAGTGCTTATTGGGATCTACTACACGTGGAGGATGTGTCACCCTTCTTTTGGCTATTACAGCATGATGATTAAATCTTGTACTAGTGCAATTCACATCAAAACATGTAGTTCAAGGCTAGTTGTGTTGCAAAATCTCAAAAGCAGACATGTGAGAAATAGCTATTATGTGCAGTGAGGTAAGTGAACTGTTTCAGAAATCTTAACCATAATTACTTCAGCATTAGAATTACTTGACTGTGAAGCTGGGGAATGTATATCTGTGGAGTTTGTAGAACTATCACTAAAACAAGAAGAGTTCAAATGTGAGAAAAGAGTCACAAATTTTACTTTTGATGTAAGAAGAATCAGATTGAAAGGTGGTTTTATGCTCAGATTTATCATCACTATTTAGAAATTCCATAAGTTTGGCATCTGGATCCACTTTCTGAAGCCTAGAAGTTCTTGATTGGGCTAAATTAGCTGTGGAAGTTCTATTTACTGAAGTTTTAGGTGTTGAACTATACAATGCACTAGTACTCTGATACTTGTTTCTGTCTTTAGGGATAGCTCCTCCACTAGCTGGATCTGAGAGATACTGATTATCCAATACCGTAGGACTATAAGAGAAGGAATTCATTTTTTTCTGAAGAGCTGTAGCTGCTTGTTGGTCCACCTTGTTAAGCAAATCTTCAGCTTTTTCAGCAATTCCTGCAAACCATGACATGTTCAATGGTCAGCTGAAAAAATAAAACAAAATTTATGTTATGTTCAGATAAAGTAAAAAATAATAAAACAGCACATACAAGATTTGAATTTAGGAATAACATGGATGTTAGTCAGTACATAGTACTACTTCATATCAAAATACTATATCAGTGCTCTTTTACATTTTGTATACATGACAAAGCTATTAAGGCTAACTACCATTGATCAGAGGGAAGGCAGACAGTCAAGAATACCCTATCACCTATGCTAAGGGACTGAACTGCACTTCTACGGTGCACCCACAGCTGGAAGTGCAGGGAATATTTTATGGTATCACATGGATTTAAAGCTGGCTCATCAACTCCAAAATTGAGATCTTTAACACTGCCATACCATATCCCAGATCAATTTCAACACCTTTAATTAATTCTATGAAGACAGGTTCAGTCAATTTGACCAATCTTGCATCCACCATGTAACCAAGAAACTATACATAACTTCAAATGTACTAAGTGTATATTCTGAAATTTGGCAAGCTTTTAGTAAACATTACAAGAATGTTGTATCTAAAAAAATAAGTTTTTTAAAATAAAGTTGGTTATTAAAAATTTGTCTGTGAATTTACAAAGCCTTTACTGAGACAGTCCGAGTGAAAGGTTCTTTTCATGCCAAGAATAAAAATATTTATTTTCATCTTATAATTTTCATATTTAATTTGCATAATATCTAGAACCTTGTATATAAATATAAAAAAAAATGTTAGTAAAACTTTATACTTCATTTCTTATTTTCTTTACTCTAACACTAACTATAGTGAGATCATCTGAAGTGAAAGTTGAAAATTACAAAACAAAACAAAAATAGTTCTTTTGGTAGAATGACTGCAGATTGTAACAAACAATTACTTATCCTAAACAGCCTCAGCTCATAAAATATATTTGCTTTAATTATTTTTATTGCTCTTTGAACTGTATCTAAGCTGTATCTTGTGACTCAAAGGTGCAGGCTGAGATTTCCTTTTTAAATTAAGAAATTAAAATTTAGATAATAAAAAATTTAATTATAAATTGTGTTTTCATGCCAAGTTAATTAACATAAATTGATAATAATGTAGTTTAATTAAAATTTAAATGTAATTCTGTAAAAAGGTTGTGGCGTGTGCACTTTGACCCTCCTATGTCCATAAGGTTAAAATCAAAAACTAAAATAAAGTGAGCTTAAGATATAGGTCCTGTTGATTAACTAAATTTTAGGTTTGCATTAGCAAATTACAGAAAGGATTTTATTTATGAGACCATAGCTACCAGACTAAATGCACTGTGCCACATTATGGACTTGTAGCTAGCAGAACATTTATAGCAATTAGATTTGTCTGGTGTTTTCATGAATTAAAACCTGTTTTCTATATAAAAGAAGACACAAGTGAAAGACAAGAACATGGAACTGAAACAAAAGATCACATTTCTTCAATGTAATACAATTCAGTTCCTACATTCTATTTGAAGTGTAATAAACAGTGTTCAAAGTGTAATTTTGAAACACTGACTAAGAAAATTGGATGCTTTTCATTCAAGAATTCCTATATGGTAAGTGGTACAAGTGATCTTCATACTTTCTTCTAAGATGAGCAGCATTTAAACATTCTATATGACAAATGATTAGATAATGCAGCTGTAGAATACCTAAAACATTATTTTCATGAATGACTACACTTGCTGATGATAATTTTTGACATGCCAAATGCAAAATTGGATGAATTTAATCTTAACCAGTGTGTTTAGTAAATGAATGTCAATATTTACAGTATATGAAATATAAGACATAAGTAAACACAACAACACCAGTTTCAACTATGACTAATGTGTGTGAGCACATCATTAGGTGTAAGATGAGTTGATTGTTCTATATGTCTCTCATTAAAATGAAGCCACATTGCATCAATTACTGTTTAGGGAAATGGACAGTGTGTGACCAGCCTGTTGACTGGTGGTGCCAATTAATAATTACCCATAAACATCAATTTGATTTTCCTCTAAACATACTTAACTTGTCATAGGTCCAAGTTAATATTTGAAAACTTACAGATACAGTGTCAGCCTTAGCAAACACAAAGACCCAGGCAACAAATTTAGCAAGCTTGAAGACCAAAGGAAAAGCCTCAACAAGTGTGAAGGCCCAATTAACAGTCTTGGCACACATAAAGATTCAAGCAACAGCCTTCATAGATGTGAAGACCCAATCAAATCAACAGTCTTAGTATGCATAAAGATCCAGGAAACAGCTTTAGCAAGTGTGAAGACTCAAGCAACAGCCTTAGCAAGCCTGATGACTCAAGCAACTGCTTAACATACTTAAAGACCCAAGTAACAACCTTAACAGGTATGAAGCCCTAAGCAACAGCCTTCATAGATATGAAGGCCTAAGAAACAGCCTTAGCAGGTGTGACAACCCAAGCAACAGAGTAATCATATCTCAGTTCATTCAAAGATTGTGCACTGGCAGGAGTAGGGATCAGGGAGTTTTTCTCTGAAAGAAAGTATTTAGAATTAGGTGCCTAACTGGTATTTTAAAATATCAAGCATCAGATATTTTTTGTAATTTTGCTAGAAATGAAAATAAGTAAAACATTTTAATTTCAATAGATGTTATTATTAGCTTTTCAGTGTTAGACCTAAGTAGAAGCTTGTGCTTAAGGCTGGCACTGTGTAAGCAGACACCCACTGGCTTTCAGGGACATTTTCCTCCTTAAGTGTTGTAAGAAAGTTAGGTATTACACTGATAACATCTTTCCAAATTCTACTATAAAATGTTTACAAATTATAAGTTTTATTTAACATTTGTCATTAAGGTGGGAGAGATTAATATTTAAGAATTTAATAAGTCCAAATTTTAATCCCCTTTGAATTTCTAATTGACTTCTGTCAGAGAACTATAAGTTACCACTACACTGAAAGGTGTGGTTCCCAAGATTTGAGAGAATATTCATATAGCATAATAACTGCTGGGCTTCCAAATTATATACCTCAAAAGGAACACTTTCTGCATTGGTATAGAGCTGTAAACATTTTTCTAGAAAACTGTCAAAATTATAATATCCTTAAAACCAAGTCTAAAATAATGAGAGGGATAAAACAGACAAAATAACTTGCAGTAATGTGTCTTACAAAAGAGACAGTCTTCCTCTGAAGATCTAGAAACAAGAAACAATGGTAGGGAATCAGCACCAAATATGTGAGAAAATCATGATAACTATAGTTTAACAGTAAGACTGCTGTAATTTGCTGACATTGTTAGAGGATGTGCCATACATTATCCCATATAAAGAAAATATAATTTGTTAATGATAAGTTTCCAATGAATCATTAGACTGAGATACAGTACAAGTGCAAAATTATTATAAATGTTTAACTAAACCAGGTGATGTATTAATGATGAGACATAGTGATGAAGGCTTTGAGAAGACAGAGGTCTATGTGATAACCTAGCATACATTGTTTTACTTGTCAAAATTGGTATTGAAGTATACATTCATTCTTAAGATAAGTGGTTCATGCTGTTTTGACACTTTTAAGTGTTGAAGAAGTTAATGTTTTACCTTTTCAAGCATTTAAGTTCAAAGCAATGTTATATAATGCATACAAAAATAAATACTGAAAATGGTTATGATGAAAGGAAGTCATCCTGAGAAAAACTAATGAAAAATAAAAAATATAAAAATACATATTAAAAAAAAAGACAAAAATTAAAAACAATAAAGTGAGCAATTATAGTAAACAAAAACTGCAAGACTTTTGTGCTGTACAGCTGTAACTTCATAACTTATCCATCTCCATACAGACATTTCCAACAGTTTCTTCACATCCTAGTTATTTTGTATAATGTTTTAGATAACCGTGACATGAGCCACGAAATCTGCACATGACGTTATAAATTGTGTCAGAATCATTACAAACACAAATGTTGTAATAGTGAATGTTAATCCTAGAGTATTTCATTTTGAAATAAAATATTTTAAAACTGTTTTCATTGACACCTAGTCAGGTCTGAATCATTCCTGTAAGTATAAAGATTGGTATTAACTTGTTTTGGTAAAATTCTTTAAGGGCATTTTGAAATATAAAACACATTACCATTAGTCCCATGCAAATCTATCAAACCTCTAACAGCACTGTACTAAACAGAAGAGAAAAATCTCAAAGATTTCCACTTTACCAGTGTTAGGATTTGACGTGATTACACAGTTCCTGTAGAGTCTCAAGCTATAACTACCAAGTCATCAAAATCTGAATTATCAAATTAATGACCCTCAGTGCCTTAACTCATTCAACCTGGAATCAGTTCCTGGGATTGACCTCGTAACCATTTTGTGCTTGTTATAGTTTTCATGCTATAACTTTTAAATTAGTAGACAAATGTTAAAAAACTTTGGCAGTTTGTCAGTAAACATTACAATGCTTTCATACGCAAAATATCTAATTTTTTATTAAGTTCTAAAGTTTGAAAAGCAATGTTTCTTCCAAGACTTTTTTTTTTCTTTTCTCATCTTGCCTATCTATCATGCAAAGTAATTTTCATTTAAGATTAAAAATACTTTTGTGTATCAGAAAATTTTGAAATTTCGCATGTGAAACCTTTATAATGTCCAGATAGTTATCAAATGTTTCTTAAGAAAAAACTTTATATTTTATCTGTTATTTTCAGTAATTAATCTCTGTATGGGTTCAGTAAACTTGACCAATCTCGCAACCACCATAAAAAATTAGGAAATAATCATAAATTATGCCTCTTTCATTCTAGAATGAACACAAATTATAACAGGAAAACATAAATGTTTAGAATAAATAGCTAAAATCTCATAACATTATACATTTATTATTTTTATTATATTGACCTTTCACCCGCGGCTTGCGTGCACTCATGTTACCATATCAAATAACATAAAGGTGGCTTTTGGTCTGTATAAAGTGATTTCTCGTGGCTGTGTTTTAGTAGACTAGTATTTTGTAAAATACAGTCACATTTCAATTACTATACATTATATATGTATATAGATAATTGTTATTTTGAAATAAGTTCTTAAAGTTATTTGTCCTAAAACATAGAAAAGTAAATGAAGAAGTAAAGCAAACAATTATCTCTTCTAGTTACAACCTTTGTACTCGGTTGCTGCTTGACATAGGTTGCTAAGTCTTTAAAAATTTTGTACATGGAGGATATGAAACAAAATATTTTTTTTAGGTTTTATATATATACTTTTGAATAACTAAAAATCATAAATTACTACATCAATACCACAGAATTCTACTATAATTTATCAAGCTTAGTAACTAAGCTGTATTTGGGTAAACAAAAAAATGAAATTTCGAGCAGACTAAAGACACAACCTACCTCATTGAAAATCTTGATTCAAAGAAAGAAATAGCGGAAGAAACATTAGAAATGGTGAGAAAACCACTAGGGGAATATTCTGAGCTTCCAATTGGTTATTCATGTCATATATAGAAGTAAGTGTATATAAGGGAGTTTCCCAAAAATCGAAGGAGGTGAGCAGGATGCCACTATGTTTGATTTATTATGTGAGCAATATCTTAGCAAATAGAAAAGATAATACTTTATTTTATAATCTAGCTTGTCAATGTCTGTAACTTGAGTTTCTAATTCATATGCAACTATAGACTTGGTATTTTGACTTCACAAACATCTAATCTGAACCAGTGCCACATTCAACATACCACATGACACACAAAAATCGATGTATATCCGTGTTTTTAATATTTACTTTTAAATCAACAAATTGAGTAATGTATAGTTCTAAAATCTGAATTATAATATACAGTTTGGTACCAAACTTATTGACATAAATTCATGAAATAGTAGTTAAATAAAATTTTGAATGTGAGTCAACAAACGAGATGACATGGCCTTTCACCTGTGACCCATCTCGAAAGGGTTAATTAAAGCACGACTATTTTTTCTCGACCATTACTTTCAATCTGGTAGATGCAGCATTAGTGTTATTACTTGTATCAATTGCGTATAAAATCTAGTTTATATGTAATTTGTAATTCATAAATTTAAAAACTTGCAATCCCCATCTAGTAACCAAGTGTTGCCAATTTATGTTTTTATTCCATAGTATTAATACTACATTTTATTAGCACTATTACTTTTCTATAGTGTTAGCACATTTGCTAGATTCCATAGTGTTACTGCTGTTCCTATTCATACTGTTGACATACTACTACTATTTCATAGTTTTAGTACTCTATTATTCTATAGCACTGGTGCTGATGTTATGGAATTCTTGTATTGGTGCTGTTATTATTCCACAGTATTATGGCTGCTACTATTTACATTAATGATACTGACAGGGAACACAGTTATAAAATTAGTAGTTTACTGATGTCATTAAACTCTTTGGTATTCAAGCTCTATTAAGGATGCAATAGATCAAATGGTGAATTGAAGAAATATTTGGCAAAATGATCTTTAATTACAGTAAGTGCAAAGTAATGCATTTGGGTTATCATAATAATTACTATAAATTTAATAAAGATAGAAATGCACTCAATAGCATGGCTGAAGAAAAGAATCAAGACAGCAATCTGTTGCTAGTGGTAAAGCTAATACAATTTTAAAGTGTATTTACATCAAGGTGTATTAAAATCAAAAAAGGTAATTACCTCTATATAAATCACTAGTTAGGTTTCAACTGGGATACTCTAGGCTTCAGTTAAGATAGGATACAATAGGATAAAAACCACCAAAATATATAACATACAGATCACTGGTTAGGCCTTGTTTAGAGCAGTGTGCTCAGTACTGGGTTCCTTATATTAAGAAAGACAAAGTTGTTGGAATGGGTTTAAGGAGGACTGCTAGGATCATACTTGGAATAGAAAGGTTGTCATATGACAACAGGTTAAGATCTCTGAAATTACCTTCTCTTAAAAAAAAAAAAAAAAAGAGTTAAAAGGAATCTGATTGAGGTGCTTAAGATTGTTAAGGGAACTGAATAGTGTTGATGCATCATTTTTTCATACTAAATGGTGAGAATGGTATGACAATTAGACACAAATTATGGAAGGGTTGGAGTCATCTAAGGGAAGTATTATTACATATTTGAATGATAAGGACTGGCTTTGAAACTTTTATTAAAGCTTGGTTTAGTTCAGTAGACCAACATGCCTCTTGTCCTTAAATATTATGTTAAGGCCTCTGATTTAATTGTGCTATTTTCTGAAGATAATAGGATAAAAGGTTGTAACTGTAAGATATAGAATAGACAGGCTATGCTCCAGTTAAGGCAGTTTTAATTTTCTAACAGGGTGATAGACTTATCAAATGAGTTGTTGATTTATGAAAAACAAAGGGCAGGTTTAAATTTTTACTTATCTCAATGTGGTGTGCGTGTGTGTGTATGTAGAGCCTCAAAGGACCAACTGGTCCCTTGTTATCTGTATTATATGTATAGAAGATACGTAGTACACAAAATGTACCATTTCCATTTTGCTGTTGCAACAAATTTGTGATTGTAAAAATATATGCTGATAATGAATAAATTTCTTAGAGGTTTCATTTTTACATATTTTATTTATATAACAACTTTAAATTATTATATTAATTTTCTGGGGGGGCATGCCCCCAGACCCCCCTAGACTGAGCTACCTTTGGCAACACAGGAGCTTTCAGCAGCTTCTTATACTTTCAATCTCTCATTGTAAAATCTGCAAGTCTAGCCAAACACTTTGCAACTCCTTCCTACACTTTTGTTTCTTATAGGTCCAGAGAAAGCAGCTATGTCTGAATTAGAAATGTTAATGTGATGTTCATGAAGGCTTGAACTCACAAGAATAAATTTCTACCTTTTTTTATTGACTGTCTCATGAAAAAATGCACACCCTTCTTTCCCTAAAAAAAGTAGTGAGAAACAGTGACTAGAATGGAGAGGAAAAAAACTCACATTATTATGATGATTTTTTATTTCGAATACAAGTAAAATGCTCTAAAATTTTCCACAACTTCCGAAAGAGAATATATGGCACACTCTCCCATAGTCTCAGCTGATTGCTTGTATAACAACATTAATTTCATCAGACAACATACAATATATCTGTATGGAATGCTATATAAAACTTGTAATTACTTTATCATGGTAAATACATGTCTTAGCATAATAAGAACTGGTAAAATAACTATTAAAGATGTGTAATAAATATTAAAATATTTAATTAATACTATAACATACATAATTTGCTAATGCTGTGATACCACAAGAGTCTAAGATTGAGCATGATTAAAGGCATGCCATACATTCTCGCAAAGAGTAAGCAGAAAGTGTTAAACACATTACTACTAATATCTACTACTACAGTATATACTACGTATACGTATAGTAGTATTACGTTAGTTACGTTACTAGTTACTACTTAGT